GAGGAAGGACACTCGGACTTTGAAGCAAATTGCTTCTAATCTTGAGCTTGATCCTCCTAGATCTCCTCTATCAGATGAGGCAGCTAGTGAGCCTGAGACTGAGGAGCAACAGCAGGCCAGATATGATAGAGAGTATGTTGAGTTCATTCAGCGACAGCAGCAGCAGCAGGCACCAGAGCACCCTGACACTCTTCCACTTCAGGCTCGTGTGCCTACTCACTCTCAGCCACGTCCTAGTACTACAGACGAGTATGCTACAGATTGGTGGAGTGACCTCACAGGTGGTGGCGGCTACTACGGGTCTAGTGGCTATGACCCGTCCGGCGCAGGTGGTTCTCGTCCAGCTGGTGTTACACGTTCAGATGACGAAGATGCTGGGAGAGATGATGATGATGATGCTGAGTGATGCCAGAGATCAGATACAGCTTGCAGCCCCTTTTGTCCTTAGTTTGTCATTGTTGGACCTTTGTGGTGATAGATGACAAAGGGGGAGAGAGACTGATTAAAGCTTCGGGATTTTTGTTTCATTTGCTTATCTTTGTACCTGAAGATATGTACTGCAGGCTGTAGTTTTTGTTCATGAGCTTCATTGATGTATCTTGAGTTTAAGATTGCATTGTATCTCGTGAGAGATGAGACTCACTTATGCTTTATCTATGGATCTATTGAGATATGATCTTTATTATCTGTGGCTTGTGGACTTGAGAAAATGTGTAATAAGTGCTATGTGTGGCATACATGTGTTGTATTTATTTTTCATAAGGTCTATGCATGATAGAATGAAAATATTTGATGTGATGTCTTTATATTTATTCTTGTGTGATATATCCTATCATATGCATCACAATTCTATTTTGTCACACTCACATGCACCCCACGGATGCAATGATTTAGGGGGAGTCTCCTATATGTTTTAGTATGTGCAATTGACAAGTTGAGGTCATTTTGTGAATTCCAATCACAAGCACATATTAAGGGGGAGCCTCTTATAAATCATTGAACCCAAAAGCTTAAATGTTTATATTCTTTTATAAGCTTTAATCAAGTTGTCATCAATCACCAAAAAGGGGGAGATTGAAAGTGCATCTAGCCCTTTAGTGGGTTTTGGATGATTGAATGACAACGTGATTAAAGGTCTAACCCGTTTGCTAAGTGTGGACAGGTTATAGGTTATCTCATGAGTACTTAATGAAAGCTAAAATGATGTGTTGTTGTATAAACAATCTAGTTCAAGCACAAGACAATAATGCAAATGTTATTCATGCAAAGGCTCATTTATTGTGGGATTTCCATTTGCTATGTGAAAGCAAACTCGTGAGAATTAATTAATGAGACATGAGAAATTGCATATGGAATGGTCTCATACTTGAAGCTTGCTAAATTGAAATGAAAAAGATAACAATACAAATGAATGGATGATTCAACACAAGAAGTGACTTGATGGCTTGAGATGGTGAAAATAGCAAGGAAAGGCTTCGAGGTACTAAGCAAGGGTGAAGGGGAAGCGATGGCTTGGCGGCCGAAGAACCTAGCTAGGGTGAAGAAGAAAGTACTTGCATTTAGTTGAGGTACTAATCAAGCTATGATGGCCATGTTCATGTGGAGGATCAAATCACTATTGGATTGTTTAATGGAAGTGACTTGATACATTTGGGATTATTCAAATTTGATGAATGGAATCAAGTCACGTGCTCAAGATGGCTATGCTCAAGTGAAAAGATCAATATCAACATGTTAGCACCCTTACTTGATGAAGATTGAAAGAGACAGCATCAATTCAAAAGAGATCAACTCAAGTGGTATAAATCTTTTTTTCCTTTGATCTTGAGTTTAATAGGTATGCCATATTATTAAGAGGGATGCATCATGTTGATAGATAATGTTTCATAAGTGCTCAAGCCAACCCATGTGAGATTTGAGTGTTTGAGAGACAAAAAAGGCTAACTGACTTGTTGCTGGTCTGGCCTTACCGGACGTGTCCGGTATGCATACCAGACGTGTCCGGTATTTGCTCAGTAACTGTAAAAATGTTGTTCTCGGGTTGGTTCGTCGGGAGTTCCGACGGTCGGAAGTTCCGGCATGTGTCGGGAGTTCCGACACCTCATATTCTTTAACTCAGTTACATGGTTTTCAAATTTGCTGAGGGTCGGGAGTTCCGACGTGAGTCGGGAGTTCCGGATGTCGGGAGTTCCGGCATTCATCGGGAGTTCCGATGCCTCACAACTTCATTGTAACTTAGTTACCGTTGGGGCAGTGTAAGTCATACCGGACGTGCATACCGGACGTGTCCGGTATTGCAACGGCTATAAAACGGCTAGTTTTTCAAGGGGGCTATAAATACCCTCAAGCCTCCACCTTTGGAGGTTGCTGATTCTGCTGAGATAGACACACGTTTTTGAGCCTTGCCAACTCTCCCAACCCTCTCTTAGTGAGTGTGTGATCCAAATTGCAAAATCAATTTGTGGGTTTAGAGAGAATTTTAAAAAGAGAGCAAGCCACCACTTGAGCACTTGTGCATATTGTTAATCTCGTGATTCGCATTTGTTACTCTTGGACTCTTCGGTCCTAGACGGCTAGGCGTCGCCGGAGAGCAACCGAGAGATTGTGGTTGCTTCGGAAAGTTTGTAACGGTCGATTCCGCCGCCTCGGAATCATTTAGTGCAAGGAGGAAAAGGAGTTGGAAAAGACTCCGGCTAGAGTGACCTTCGTGGTACCCTCTAGGGCTGACCTTCGCTGGGTCGCCCGCAGCCCCCTCAACGGAGAGTAGGACTCGAACGAGTCCGAACTTCGGTAAAACAAATATCGTGTCTCAATTCGCATTTCATTTGATATTTGTGTTGTTCTAGCTATTCTGCAGGTTCTCTGTGTATATTACTATCTCTAATAGTTTCCTGCAGTTTGGATTGAAGATAGAAATCAAAAGGAGCAAGTTCGGAGCTGTTCCACTGAAGTCGTGAATACCGGACACGTCCGGTATACCTACCGGACACGTCCGGTATTAGCCCCTGCGCCAAACTAAATTGTATTGAGTTCTAACTCTTTGGTTGCAGGCGTTTGACTCCTAGATTCATTTAGTATCTTTTATATACTCTGTGGCTAACTTGTGAGGGGTGGTACTACTCACTACTCTTTATTTGGAGTTTTCATTTTGGAAACTCTCTTTACTAATCGTTTCCGTATTTAAAGGTGTTAATTATCAGAAACACCTATTCACCACCCCCCCTCTAGGCGGCATCCTAGGTCCTTTCACACGGGCCCAGCCCAAAAAAGCACGACACTAGCACGGCACGGGCACGGAGCCCATAGTGCCAGTGCCGGCACAGACACGATCTAGGGCAGTGTCTGGGCCGTAGGTCTGGCCCACAATGCCGGCACGGGCACAACACGATTAATGTTCTAGCCGTTGGATGCCTCCTATCTTTTCTCAGCCGTTGGATAAGCTTGATGAGCAAAACCTAGATATAAAAGCAGTTCTCCCTCTGCCCTCTCCCTCCTAGCCGGCTGCCGCTCCCTCTCACTGTGCCCCGACCGCGACTCTCCCTCGCTCCGTGGCTCCTTCCCTCTCGCACCTCTGGCGTCCGAACGCGTCCTCGACTCCCTCTCGCTTGCTCGCTCCTCCGGAGTTCGGTCCCTCTCCCTCGCTCCTCGACTCCTCCCTCCCTCTCTCTCGGACACTTGCCCTCTCTAGTCTGAAGAGATGGCGGCGCGCGCCGCCTCCCTCAGCCATGGCGTAGTGGAGGGCAACGACAGTGGCGATGCGGGGGCGCTCGGACAGTAGCGGCGCGGATACTGGTGGCGCGGCAACGGCGATGGCAAGGACGCTCGTTGCGACGAGCTGTGGTTCCCATGCCGTCACAGGCATGATGGGTTGCCGTGCCTACAGGCACGGCACGGCACGACTAACCGTCTGTCGGGCCGTGCCTGGGTCGAGGTGTCGGCACAGTGGCACTATCAGGCACGGCACGGCAACACCGCCGTGCCTGACCGTGCCGTGCCTCGCTGTGCCGTGCTTCACCGTGCCAGTGCCGTGCCGTGCCTGGGCGGCCCATTTGGACAACTATATCCTCCTCCTCATCTTTCTTGTGCATTGGTCAATTCCCACGTTGTTGGCACTGCCCAACCAGCCTCTCCCACTACCCGCACATTGATTGCCACCGCCGCAAGTTGTCGGCCTCCCAAAGCCCCCTTTTACTGCCAGAGAACACACCAAATCTCTAATCCTGAAACCCTAACCACTAACCTGGCACGGGGCACTGGATCCGCTCGATTCATCATCGTCGGAGGGCTCGGGGTCGCTGGTGGATCCTTGGTCGCCATGGGTTTGAGGGTGTGAGAGAGGCAAGGAAGAAGGAGGTCGGACGAAGACGCGTGTGGGAGGAGAAAGGGTGGGGCATGACTGGCTGGGTGCATGCGGTGCGTTAAACACCTAACACAAAGCCTTTGGCTATTAAGAACAAGTTAGTTGATAACCGAATTAACTAATTAGTAATAAAAAGTTAGTATTTTGTGAGACTTTTTATTTGGTCCTAAAATTGTTGGAATATCCACTAAGGGGTAGTTAGCTCGACTGGTCCGGTTGATAATATGTCTCGGCTTTCTGAACTCATTCCATCTCATTTCCAATGGGGAATATCCATTCAACAGTCATACGTAATACTCAAGTGAAACTGCTGGACAGGATTTGATTAAGCTAAATAGGTTGAGCAAGATGGAAGTTCCCATTAAGACATTGTTTGGATGTAGTCGGATTCGTATTAATCCACATATATTGGGGTGAATTGGAGTGAAACTTGAACTAAATTCCACTCCAATCCACCCAACAACACATATGGATCGAGGTGAATCTGGTAATATCCGAAAGGCCTAAGAATGGAGTGGTTTATGGCTGGACGGCGGCATGAGCCATTGTCCATTTTCAGGCTTATACAATACTTAAATACAAGACTGAAGAAAACTCACGAGGTCGTCTGCTCGTGAATTCTAAAGCCCTAAGATTAAGATTAAACCAACAAGCTCCATTCCATCCATGATTCTGCCGGCGGTCCGTAGATGCTAGACGGCGGCACGAGCATGTTCGCTTGATCATATCAGCCATATTTATTAGCTATGTTATAGTGTTTTTATCTCGTAATAAAATAGCTTCGATCGGCTTATAAGCCACGGAAACCATAAGCGAACCGGATGTCTCGGCTGTTGGATCCCGTGGACTTGTGCGGCTGCGGCTGTTGCAGCTGCAAAGCGCCGCCGTAGTGCGCGGCGCCTCCTGCCACGTTCAGGCCTGAGCCGAACCTCAGCTCCGAAGACTTGGCGTTGATCTCGCCTCCGAACGGCGCGCCGTCACGGACGTAGAACGCCGCCGCGTTCTGCTGTATCACGTTGCTGATGGTGTCGCCAAATAGGCACGGCGTCGGAAACGGGCCGGACACCTGAACGCCGGGGGCGGCCGTGTCCACGTTGCTCACCAGGCTCCTGGGCGCGCCGCCCACGTTGGCCTCGTACATGTCCTTCAGCTCCGCGAGCGACCTCAGGCCGTCCACGGGCAGGTCGAAATCCAGGCCGCCCAGCGCCGCCGCCTGCCCGGGCGGGACGAACGACGCCGGGAAGACGGACTCGGTGGCGCGTGGCGGCGGCGGCACGGCCGCGCCGACGCCGACTCCAGGGCTGTTGTTGAACTTGCACGAGTACTGGTGCGCGTTGCGCGCGTTCCGGTCCAGGAACCCGTGCGCGCTGCTGCTGTGCGGGCACTGCACGTTGCCGCAGGTGTAGGCGCGGAAGCTGCTGCCCAGCATGAGCTCCGGCTCCGCGGCGGCGGCCGGCGCGCTCCTCTTCTGGAAGAACTCGGCGTCGGCGGCCTCCTCCTTCATCAGCGCCGCGGGCGCGGCCATGACGAACTTGTTGTGGCCCGCATCGTCCATGGAGGACGACGACGACGAAAGGTCCACGAACGCGGCGGCGGCGGCGGCGTTGGAGGGTGGCTGGTGGTTCCGGCCGGTGTCTTCGCCGTCGGCGCCGTCGACGTCGTATTCGCCGGAGCTGGCGCAGAACGGGATCGTCGCGGCGGCGGCGGCGGAGGACGGCACGGGGCGGGCACCTGGGTGCAGCTGGAGGTAGAGCTCCTCCTCCTGCCTGAGCACGGCAAGCCACGTGACGATCTCCCTGGCGGTCATCTTGTCCTGCAGGCACTTGGACTGGCGGACCAAGCGGCGCGCCTTGTCGACGTCGGGGGACATGTGCTTGATGACGGCGGTGAGCACGGCCACCTTCCACGCCTTCTTTAGGTCGTGCGGCTTCTTGTACGGCGGCGGGCCGAGCTCCCCCGGCACGGCGGCCTGCGGCCACCACGGCGGCGGATGGCCCTTCTCGAGCGGGAACCGGCGCTGGGGCGGGTCGCAGTGCTGCATAAGCGCGGAGAGTAGCGAGCCCAGCGTGGTGTCCTGCAGGGAGTGCAGGGAGTGCGGGCCCGCCAGCGCGTTGGCGGCCATGCCCCCGCCGCCTCCAGCGCCGTCTCCCGCGGCGGCGGCGGCGCTGTCGGCCTGGTACTTGGCGGCGGCGGCGGGCCCGTTGCGGTCGAAGCGGACCTTCTCCTTCCACCAGGCGCGGAGGTTGTCGGAGGCGCCGGTGACGGGCTTGCCGTTCTCCGGGACGATGCCGTAGACGAAGCCCTGCGCGTTGCAGACCTCCATCATCTTGAGCATGTACTTGAGGATCCCGTCCTGCGCGCGCGACATCTTCTTGCGCCGCGCCTGCTCCTGCGACTGCCGCTGCCTGCTGCTGCTGGCCTCGTGCTTGGCGCCGCCGGAGCCGCCGAAAGGGCGGCCGCTCTGCTGCTGCTCCTCCTTGAGGCGCCTGAGCCGCACGAGGTCCCGCCACATGCGGCGCTCCAGCTCCTCGATGCCGTCCACGTCGTCGTCGCTCATCATCATCTCGTCCAAGGGGAAGCTCATCGTCGTCGTCATCTCCTCGGTCGCCGGCGCCGGCGCCGGGTTAACGAGGTCGCCCTCTCCAAAGAAGCACTCGCCTGCCCCGAACCCGAACAGGGCCTTGTCACCCGCCGCCATGCGCTGATCCAGCATCAGCGCCCCTCCTCCTCCCATCACCGCGCCGCGCGTAGAGGCAGAGGCACTGAGGCACGCAGGCACACCACACGGGAAGGAGCTTGCGCTACTTGGTAGCGAGTAGTGGTGGAGTGGAGTTGTCACGGGCGCAGCGGAGCTATATATCGATCGGACACAGATCGTATGCAGTGGCTATTCACACTGCAAGATATGCAGTGGCCATCCGAACCAATCGTCTAATGGGGAACGATAGGATTAGGGATCTTCTTTTCCTCCTCCTTTCTTCATTACCTTTTACTCAAACGAATGCAATAATTCAAGAGGATATACCACTGTAGAGTAGCACACCACATATGGAGCTCAGCAGAACACATGCCCACGTACTGATTATATTCAAAATCAGAGTTTGCTGAATTGTCAGCCATACAGAACAGATGCCCACATACGGGACATATTGGATCTCTTTTGCTCCATGTTACTAATTCATTGTTAAATCCTACATATATTTTACTCTAAACTGAAGCATTTTTAACCCTAAAAGCTTAATACAAAAGTGGTGAGTCACAAAGCTGAACGAAAGAGCATATATATATAGCACTGTTCCTATCTTCATATGCCCACCATTTGACTTTTCTTTCTTCTTAAAACCAGTACAATTTGCAAACTGTTCAGGTAAGCTGAATGGTGCTTGAACATTAGAATTTTCAGCATCAATTTTAGGAGGTTTTCTGATTTTTCCTTCCACCTGCTTACTCACATTATGAAGTGCCTTTTCAACGAGCATGTAGCAATCTTCAAAATCAGTAGCTCGTGAAGCCAATAGAAAGAATATCCGGCAAAGATTTTTGCACCGAAGTGTAGCATAACTTAGGATTTTCCTCTAGATCCCTCCATGCATATCTTGGATAATCTCTGAACTTGCGCCTCTAGTCCATCGCTTCAAAATGTATCTTTCAGGCAATAACTACATGTGACAATCTGATCAGCAAGGTTGACTATAACTGTACGCTCTAATTCAAGTGTAGATGACTCCCCAAGAGCTCCAATTGCAATGGAAAATTCTGTGCTTCTATCTGAATCTACTATGTAAGCTGCTAGCGACTTTTTATATTCACCTTGGAAGGCTTCAAAAATCACAGGTGTATATTCACCTTGATTCGAATAAACAAACCTACAGGTTGTCACTAATCCATCAAGACCACTCTTGTTTGCATAGTATTTCCTAACATCAAACCCCATCCTACCACCATATGTGACCCAGAAGTTCCAAGCCTCATCAACACTGCTAAATGTCATACTTATTTTAGGAATCCAAAAAGGAGTTGCAGACACCCTGTAGTAATAAATATTGTCAGTTCTATATTTCATCAGTAATAATCAAAAGAACCAACCAAAAAAATCAAAATATTATGTTTCCCGAACATTCTTAAGACATTTCAACAACTTAAATCAACTATGCATGACCTGATCAGATAGCTTTGGAAAAAGGATTAGCACAACCTTGTAGGCGATTCCTCGAGCACATGTTGGGCGTCATCTGTGGCACCATCATCTGCAGCTGCTGGGGTGCTTGCTGGAATGCTTTGCGCCATGGGAGGTTGCACGGGGGCATGGGGAAGGTGCGTGGCGCTGGCCTTCTTCCATGCGTACGCCCTGCTCGGTGTCGGCGCGGACGTCGTGACGCCTCCTGTTGTGATGGAATGAGGACATTGGAGGACGGCAGCTTCAACAGGCGCATGCGGAGCAGCATCCCCTCCACTAGCTGTGAGGGGATCTGCGAGTAGGGGTCCTGGGCGTTCCATGGCGAGGCAGCTCGCCGGCCTCCCTGCGCTCGCCCGCCGCCACGGTCTCCTGGATATGGCGCCAAAGCTGTGGAGTTTTCCCTCCAACAACGCCAGGGAAAGGAAAAAGGTAAAATCCCTCATCCCAACCGTTTCTCATCCGATGAATGGCTCAGGTATGGCCACTGCATATTTTGCAGTGTGAATAGCCACTGCACACGATCTGTGTCCATATCGATCGGGGTGACTGACCGTGTGAAGCTGTGTAGGAGACGTCCCCAAATTTGCATTGCATGGGCCGCGGTAATAGGAACCGAAATGACGTGTACTCTCCTACACTTTTCACCATGTGCGAATTCACAAGTAGCTCAAGCCGTTATTCGACGAAATGTTAGCGCCGTTAATTACTGACCTAATAATATCAGCTATACCATGAGCGAGGTTGTCATTGAGATGATGGGACATGGAAATAAAGCAATGTGAGTGGCAACCAAAAGGCAATTATGCACGTTTATTCAGATTTGATTATCTTGCTGCTGTTGAAGACAAGAGAACTATCCTTGTAGCAAAGGAGGTGGAGGAGAGCAAGATAAGTACTATGGAGGAACAAGATGGATCAATTAACACAAAACCAAGAAAGGAAAGAGCTGTTTTAATGAGCCAACCTCCTGGGGAGGGATCTACTCATGAAGATGGCAGGGAAAAGGAAATAGCTACCCAAACTATAATGCAAGACAGTGAGGAGAATCGTGTTTTAGTTGGCAATATGGAAGAAGAACGAGGGCAGAGCTATGAAAGAGGATGAGAAAACCAATGATACTCTATACAATGATATGCCAGGGAAAGCTGAATGAAAGCAAGTCAAACAAAACAAGATAATCAAGGTGCAGAACACTTCTATGTTGACTTGTCGTAAGCTTCATATCCTCCTCATTAATGAAACACGTATCAATGAACACATTCTCGAGAAAAACTTCTATGCGACTATAAATGATAAGATAAAGCTAAAAAATGATCAAGACTGCAATGAAGATATGAAAGAAAATAGCAATAACTCCTTTGCAGTTCTTAATAATTCTGAACTAATTTCCATAGGGACTAAAATGGGCGTCAATCCTGAGGCCATATCTTTTCAGAAAATAGACACTTTGAAGGACTTAGAATTTGCTGGATCTAATTTAGATGAAGCAAACTTGGTATTAGCTAGGAGGAAGAACCACTTGTCCAAGATGAACAGAAGGACTTAATTTGGCAAACTGGTGAATCTGAAGATGAAATTGTTAAAATTATGTCAAGTAAGAAGAAAAAGAGAAAACACAAAAGGTGCCAAGAAAAGTAAAATTACGTCCAGAGTTGCCGGTTGGCAAACCCATCTACGAAGGAGATGAATCTAAGGTTCACCCTAGATTCAAGCTTAGAAATAAAGGAGATATAAAAAAACCTATTAAGTGATAGACATAATTTGGAATTGCAGAGGGGTTGAGCAAAAACGCCTTAGTACCTTTTTCTAAAAAACATAGTATGTAAATAGCAGGCTAACTGTGTGGGGCTGCAGGAAACTATAAAGAAAACTTATACCAATAATTTTTTTCCTGAAATTAGATGATCAAAAGAGCGTTGCTTGGCTTCCTAAAGGCGTCTAAGGGCAAATATGTGTGTGTGTGTGTTTGGGGAGGGGGAGGGAGGGGGGTATATTTGAAACAAGAGATTTGATTTAGAAAGTTTTGAGGACGGTGATTTTATGATTATAGCTAATGTATATGATAAAACCAATTCATGACTGAACTGACAAGTGTCTGTTCCAAAGCAAAAATACCCCCTGATTATGGGCGGATATTTCAATATCCTCAGGTTGAGCAATGAAAAACTAAAAAAATATGGTAAATAAATTTTCTGATATGTTCAATTTGGTTATCAATACCTATGAGTTAAGGGACTTGCCCCTTAGGGAGTTAGGGGACGGAAATGCACCTGGAGTAACAACAGAGTTGATCCTACTCTGGAAAACTTGATAGAGTGTTGAATTTATTTTCCCTTACGCAATCTTGAAAAATCCCTAGACACATGTCTGATCACACCCCTTTGGTGTTCAATTCTGATCCAAAATTGCATATTCAAAAGATAAAAGAATTCTGATCACAACATCTTACGATCTGGAACAGAGGAAGTATCTTTTACTCAAATCTCCTACAACTAAAAAGAACAAAAGTAAGATTATTTTTTCGTGCAACTTTTTTGGGGCCGCTCCTCCTTCCCGTCCGTGCGATACCGCATCACGCGCTCCACTCCATCCTCCCCCCGCCGCCAGCCCCACACGCCTGTAGCCTCCCTCCACGCTCGCGACCCCCTCTGTGCTGATCCATCTCCCTTCCAGATCGACATCGCGATGGCGGCGGGGTGACACGGCGCTGCGGCCCCCCGTGGGAGACGCCCACCCAGAAGACGCTCACCACCCATCGTCCGCGATGCAGTGGAAGAGGAGCGTGACGTCGGCGTTCCTTCTCGACGCGGCGGGCGGGGGCAGGGGCAGTGCGCGGCCTGCCGGCGTAGCCTGCTGCCATGGCTCTGAGCGGGTGGTGGCGGATCCGGGTGCGACGTTGCAGGGGAGGCATGTGGCGGCGGCGGCGGCGACTTCTTTACCTTGGAGTCATGCGGCGTTGCAAGCGGAGGCCTGTGGTGGCGGCGGCAGTTTCCCGAGCTTGGAGTCGTGGGATGAGGATGAAGCACTCTTCTAGGAGTCCGTCGATGCATCTTCCTGCATCTCCTGCTACTGCTATTATGGATGTGACCATCTCATTTGCTAGGAAGAAGAATCGATGGAGCTTGTTGCTGGGAGTGGAATTTTATCAAGCTGGGTATTACTGCGGGAGATGGAGCAGGATTTCTAGGATCTAGAAAGTGGCAGCGTGATTTGTGTCAAAACAAGTAATTTCTTTTTGTGGAAGTACTTATACTACCAAATTAGTTTTAGATATAAATGTCCCATGCCCAAGGAGGGAAATTTGGATTGATACTTTTTATGTCTTATTATCTTATTGAATATTTCATATGTGCACAGGTATTTTGATATTTTTTTTCTTTTACACTCAAATTGATCAATATCCCTGCACTTGTAGTTCCGTTGTCGGGATAGTATTAACTATGACTATTCTGATAAAAATGATGAGTTTTGCACTCAGCCGCAACTATGACAGATTTAAAATGCATGTTGAATTGTGCCTGCTTAGCTGGGGAAATGTTCATCTCCAGGGACAAGTATTCTTTATTTATTTTGTGTTTGGGGGTCCTGAATATAGTATGCCACCTTACTTAGCAGCTGGCCTCCGGAGTAGTCTATCTGACAGCTTGAACAAACATGTGTAAAAGGCATTACTTTATCACAGTTCTGATCATGAGCTGATTATGTTTGTTTTCAGTCATTGAACTGATCCTGAGCACTGAGATTGTGAAGGCTTCCCTTGCCTCAAAGACTCTTAACCAGTGCAGCTGGGGATACCTTTACATATGAGACCTTGCTCATTGCTATTGGCTCCTCGGTTAGTTCTCACTGCAATTTTTCTCCTAAAACATAGGAGATTGCCTTTTACGTAACTTTTTCAATGGGAACTTGTTACCTGGGTTACTCATGATATATTCTGTCTTTGTGTTCAGGTCATAAAGCTCACTGATTTTGGTGTTCAAGGAGCAGAATCCAACAACATTTTGTATCTAAGGGATATTGCAGATGCCGACAAGTTGGTTGCAGCTATGCAAGCAAAGAAGGATGGAAAGGCTGTGATTGTTGGAGGTGGTTACATAGGGCTTGAGCTTAGCGCAGCCTTGAAAGTCAACAACTTTGATGTGACCATGGTGTAACCTGAATCCTGGTGCAGTATGTCCCGTTAACCTGAAAGCTTATCACGCATGTTCCATTCTCTGGAATTAATCTGAAACAATAACTGACTCCGGCGCCGTGAAATGAGTGGCATGTTCCATTCTCTGGAATCCTGGTGCAGTGAAATGAGTAGCATCATCCCGTTCAAAAAAATTGTATCCCCGTGTCGTTGAGGATCCCGACGCCGGGCGACGCGAAGTTGGCTCCGGCGAGCAGCATCGGAACAGTTCTAATAAAACTACTCATGAGCTTGCTTTCGGAAGAAAAATAAAATTATTGAACTTACGATGAGCTGCTGAATTAATCGAAATGTACACGTCAAGAAAAAGCATGTTGCATATATTATGGGCTTGGCCCGTACAATATTTAATAAATCAAATAAAATTTTATGGCACGTAACATTGATCCCGTTCGCTGGTCTGAAATTTGGCTGAAACTGGCTGGTTTTGTAAGAGAGAAATACTGTAGCGGCTGGTTGATGAATAGTGGCTTCTGAGGGGGATCAGCCGGCTGGTCTTTACCAGACCAGCGAACGGCGCCATTAAGCGTTGTATGGTTTAATGCTGTATGGGATTTTGACTGAACGTTTACTCAGCTTATTTGGTTGAAAATTATCCATCTTAATTGAGATGCTGAGAAAAGGACAAAGGAGTGCCACACGTGCGCGCGCGCGTCGCCGCTGGCCGAGCCGGGCCACGGGCGCCAGGTTTTGCCACTTAATCCACATAATCACGGGCGGGCGTGGCCAGGTTTTGCCACTTAATTCACATAATCACGGGAGTTTCTCTCCTTTACGATGGAGGCGAACTGATCGCGCTGGTTACCGTCTCCTAGGATCCTCCGCTGCCTTTCTCCCTCCCCATCGTAGCCATAAATCTGAAGTCCTCGGTCAGTCCAGATCTTCCACTTCGCTTCTAAGAGACCACATCTCAGCCGCCCTTTGGGTTTTCCCGTCGCGTAGCGGGAGAGCAAGTGCCTCCGAAACCCTCGTCCGCCTACGAACCTTGCACGGGGTGTGCGGGCGATTATGTTTTTGGGGAGCGATTCCGCGACTGCTCGTCCGACGTCTTCTTCCTGGTGATTGCTCGCGAAGCTGTCTTCTTCCTGGTGTCCGTTCGTGGGACTGCACTGCGAACACCTTCCTGCATCGACTGTGGTCCACGACTTCGAGCAACGCACTATGTATAGTGCAAATGGAGCCTTCGATGCCCTCAGCATGGGACCCTCCGCTGGGTACACTCTTATATCTGTGTTTACAGTACTTTACGTACTTACTGTATCGATCAGTATATCATATATGCATGCTGTAGCGTTTGTTAGAGATATACACATGCATATATATGTCATCACGAACCTACTAATGTTATATTTCTGGATTAAATTGATCATGAAAATGCCTAATTATCTAACATTCCAAATACCTAATGTTAGGCAATTTTCTGTCAGTGGTTTTGATGCTGCTTTGAAGCCAAATAATTTTGATGGCAAGAATTTTGTGATATGGCGTGCCAAGATGGTATTGTGGTTGACTGCTATGAACTGTTATCACGCCGCACAGGGAAAGCCTGAATAATTTACTCCTGAGGAGGAGCAAAAGTTCTTGGCTGCCGATAACCTATTTCGAGGCGCCGTGATTAGTGCACTTCATCCTAAGTATAAGAAAAACTACATATCTTGCACATCAAGTAAAGAGTTATGAGATGCTCTTGAGGCAATGTTTGGAGTTTTTGATGCTGGTAGTGAGTTGTACCTTATGGAGCAGTTGTATAACTATAAAATGGTTGAAAAGTGTTCTGTAGTGGAACAGGCTCATGAGATGCAGGCGTTAGCAAAGGAACTAGAACATTTTTCATGTTTGTTGCTCGACAAGTTTGTGGCCGACGGTATAATCGCTAAGTTGTCACCTTCTTGGAGGGATTTTGCTACTTCTCTAAAACACAAGAGACAAGAGTTTAGCATGGCTGAGCTTATTGGATCTCTTGATGTTGAGGAGAGGGCGAGAGCAAAAGACAACTGTGGAAAAGGAGTTGAGTCTTCCGCTGCCAATATGGTGCAGAAGAAAAACTCATTTGCATCCCATAATAAAAAGAAGAAAAGAACATGGAAGAGAACAACAATACAAAGCCTAAACAAACTGCTCAGTTTAAGAAGAAAAACAACAAGAAAGGTGGAGGTTGCTTTGTTTACGGAAGTGATGAGCATTGGGTAAGTGCGTGCCCAGACCGTAAATATAAGCAAGAAAAGAAATCAGCAAACGTGGCAATTAGCGAGACTGGAGGAGGAACGTCTGGGTATGGTAATTCTTTACCTTTTGTTCTTTCAGTTTGTCTTTCACCTGAGTTGTGGATGGACAGCGGTGCTAATATTCATGTGTGTGCTGATGTTTTTTGTTTACTTCCTATCAGGCCGGTAGGATTGGAGCCTTGCTGATGGGAAACGGTTCGCATGCACGTGTTCTTGGTGTTGGTATGGTCGTTCTGAAGTTTACTTCGGGAAAGACGGTGCTATTAAAGAATGTGCAGCATGTCCCCTCCATTAAGAAGAATCTTGTTAGCGGTTTTCAAATGTGTCGCGATGGCTTTAAAATTGTGCTTGAGTCTAATAAGTGTGTTGTGTCGAGACATGGACATTTGTTGGAAAAGGTTATGATTGCGGAGGCTTGTTCTGTTTATTTTTGCTTGATGATGTGTGTAATAAAGTAGTGAACAATATTAATGTTTCGGATGAGTCGAATATATGGTATTCACGACTTTGTCACATTAACTTTGGTTGTCTCACGTGGCTTCCAAATCTGAATTTAATCTTGAAATTTAACTTAGTCAAAGATTCTAAGTGTCAGGTGTGTGTGCAATCGAAGCAACCGCGCAAGCCTCACAAGGCTGCTGAGGCGAGGAACTTGGCACCATTAGAACTCGTTTATTCTGATTTATGCGAAATAAATGATGAATTGACTAAAGACGGTAAACGATACTTCATGACATTTATAGATGATTGTACTAGATTTTGCTACGTGTATTTATTGAAAAATAAAGATGAAGCGTTGCATTGTTTTAAAGTCTATAAAGCTGAGGTAGAAAATCAACCTGAGAAGAAAATCAACTTCTGAGTTTTGCGCGGTGCATGGAATTATTCATGAGAGGACGCCACGATACTCACGACAGTCCAATAGGATTGCAGAGAGAAAGAACCGCACTTTAACTGATTTGATTAATGACATGTTAGAGACTGCGGGACTATCTATAGAATGGTGGGGTGAGGCTATATTGACAGCGTGTCATATCCTGAATAGGGTGCCCACAAAGAACAAAGAAATTACACCATTCGAGGAATGGAAGAAGAAGAGATTAAATCTCTCTTACCTGCGAACTTGTGGTTGTTTGGCAAAGGTGAATGTGCCAATAAACAAAAAGTGAAAGCTTGGACCAAAAACCGTTGATTGTGTTTTTCTTGGTTATGCTATTCATAGCGTGGGTTATAGATTTTTAATTATAAATTATAGTGTTCCTGAGATGGTTGTTGATATAATCATGAAATCTAGAGACGCTACATTTTTTGAGAATGAATTTCTCATGAAAAATGCACCTAACACGACTCGTCATAAATTTATAATTCCCCATGAGCATGAAAATTTTACTCCGATAGAAAAAATTGAGGAACCCTATATGCAAAATCCTGAGGAGGATGATACTATAGTCACTATAAAAAGTAAGAGACAGAGGACTGCAAAGTCTTTTGGTGATGACTATATTGTGTACCTTGTGGATGACACACCAACGACCATTGAAGAGGCATATTCCTCTCCTGATGCTGACTTATGGAAGGAAGCAGTACGGAATGAGATGGATTCTATTATGTCTAATGGAACTTGGGAAATAGTTGATTGTCCCTATGGATGCAAGCCTAAGGGTGCAAATGGGTGTTCAGGAAAAAGCTTAGGCCTGATGGTAGTATCGAGAGGTACAAGGCAGGACTTGTGGCAAAGGGTTATACTCAAAAGGAAGGTGAGGATTTCTTTGATACTTATTCACCGGTTGCCCGATTGACTACAATTCAAGTTTTGCTTTCCCTGACAGCCTCCTATGGTCTTATCGTTCACCAAATGGACGTTAAGAGAGCTTTCCTAACCGAAGAGTTAGAGGAGGAGATCTATATGGATCAACCGGATGAGTTTGTAGCAAATGGTATAGAAGGCAAGGTGTGTAAATTATTAAAATCATTATACGGCCTAAAACAAGCTCCTAAACAGTGGCATGAGAAGTTCGACATAACTCTAACATCTGCTGGCTTTGTTGTGAATGAAGCTGACAAATGTGTATACTATCGGTATGGTGGGGGTGAAGGAGTTATTTTGTGCTTATATGTTGATGACATACTGATCTTTGAATCCAGCCTCAAAGTGATTGAGGAGGTGAAGGAATTCTTATCTAATAATTCTAAAATGAAAGATTTAGGAGAGGCTGATGTTATTCTTAATATCAAGCTTCTGAGAGAAGACGATGGTGGGGTAACTCTGTTACAATCCCACTGTGTAGAAAATGTGCTGAGTCGCTTTGGTTTAGTGACTGTGAACCTGCTCCTACACCTTATGACCCGAGTGTGCTTTTGAGGAAAAATCGGAGAATAGCAAGGGATCAGTTAAGATATTCTCAGATCATTGGTTCACTCATGTATCTTGCTAGTGCAACAAAGCCTGACATCTCATTTGCTGTGTGCAAGTTGAGCCGGTTTGTGTCAAACCCGGAAGATGATCACTTGCGTGCTCTTGAGAGAGTGATGCGCTATCTAAAATGCACTATAAGCTATGGTATTCGTTATATCGGACACCCGAAGGTGCTGGAAGGCTATTGTGATGCCAACCGGATCTCTGATGCTGATGAACTTTATGCCACAAGTGGATATGTGTTTTCGTTTAGAGGTGGTGCTGTTTCCTAAAAGTCTTGCAAGCAGACTATCTTAACGGAGCCTACAATGGAAGCAGAACTCACAGCATTAGATACCGCTGGCTCTGAGACCGAGTGGCTTCGTGATCTCCTTATGGATTTACCAGTTGTTAAAAAACCCATACCGACTATTTCTATGAAGTGCGATAACTAGACTGTGATTACGAATGTTAACAGTTCTAAGGATAATATGAAGTCTACAAGGCATGTTAAGAGACGACTAAAATATGTAAGAAAATTGAGAAACTCCAGAGTAACAGCATTGGACTATGTTCACACGTCTAACAATCTGGTAGATCTGTTCACTAAGGGTCTATCACATAATGTGATAGAAAGTGCATCGAGAGAGATGGGTTTGAGACCCACATGAAATTTACTATAGTGGAAACCTGTTCTATGTGATCGAAGATCCCGTGAAGTAGGATGGTAAAACAAGCTAGTAGTAAATTATGAGGAAAGATCCTTAGTAAGACTCATTTCTGATGCATATATTTCCTTTCTGTAAGGCAGGTTGGTTTTTAACCTTAATGTGTTTCAAGTGGCTTGCTAAAGCAAAGATGTTGTCCTACAGAACATCTTTTGAGGAACACACTTATATGAGTCAGACTGCTGGTCACAGTCTATGAGATTTGGGTGATCTCTAAATACTCATAAAAGGCACTGAAGTATGACTTATATGCTTCAAATAGAGGGGATGCCTTTTGCAGCCTAGTATCAGCTAAGGACTTTAGTGACATTCACCTCACACAAAACTGTCAATTCAAGACTTAGTTTATTGTTCAGGTGTGACTGAGTAAAACTATTGCTCTAGATGGATGTTCAACTTGACAGTTGAAAGATCCTAATATGTCTAGAGGGGTGGTGAATAGTCTATTTAAAAATCTATAAATCAACTAGAGCAATGTGATTAGTATAACAAATAGTGAAATACAAACTTGCTCTAGCTTTATAAAGGTTGCAAGCCACCTATCCAACAATTCTAGTTGCTATGATCACTAGACACACAATTTTCTATGTTACTACTCACTAAGAGCTCTCACACTTACTACACTAAAGAGCTCCACTAGATGAACTTAAGCTACAAAGCAAGCTCTCAATACTAGTTACACTAAAGAGCTTGCTACAACTAGTTTGCGGGAATATAAATGAGTAAGTGAGGTAATTATACCGCTGTATAGAGGAGTGACCCAATCACAAGATGAATGCCAACTCAATCACCGGAAGAATACCAAAGGGCAAGAGACAATGATTTTTTTCTCCCGAGGTTCACGTGCTTGCCGGCACGCTAGTCCCCGTTGTGTCGACCAACACTTGGTGGTTTGACGGCTAAGAGGTGTTGCATGAACCTCATCCACACAATTGGACACCGCAAGAACCTATCCACAAGTGAGGTAACTCAATGACACGAGCAATCCACTAGAGTTACCTTTCGGCGCTCCTCCGGGGAAGGCACAAGATCCCTCACAATCACCACGATCGGAGCCGGAGACAATCACCAACCTCCGCTCAACGATCCTCGCTGCTTCAAGACATCTAGGTGGCGGCAACAACCAAGAGAAACAAGTGAATCCCGCAGCGAAACACGAGTACCAAGTGCCTCTAAATGCAAACACTCAAGCAATGCAGTTGGATTCTCTCCCAATCTCACAAAGATGATGGATCAATGGTAGAGATGAATGTGAGAGCTTTGGCTAAGCTCACAAGATTGCTATGTCAATGCAAAATGACAAAGAGAGTGAGCTTAAGCCGGCTATGGGGTTTAAATAGAAGCCCCCACGAAATAGAAGTCTCAACGGTCATCAGTACATTTAAGTGGTGACTGGACGCGCTGCTTTGAAGTGATCGGACGCACCAACACCAGCGTCCGGTCGTTTCTAGTAAGGTTCCATTCGCGAAAAATCACGACCGGACGTATCTGGTCATGCCCGATCGGACTCACCCAGCGTCCGGTCACTCAGCGTCTCTTCTGTGCGCTGCCACATCAGCAGGACCGGACGCATCCTGTCAGCGTCCGGTCACTAAGTGACCCAGCGTCCGGCCGAAGACCGACACCAACGTCTTCACTGCTTCCACTGACCGGACGCTCCGGTCCAGTTGAGGCCAGCGTCCTGTGCACTCAGTGAAGATCTGTCTTTTCTGTACAGGGCGCCGGTGGCACTGTCGGGCTGTCCGCACTCTACGGACGGACACTCCACCGGTAAAGTTTCTTACCCTTGCTCTCAAGTGCTAAACACAATGTGTATCACCTTTGTACATGTGTGTTAGCATATTTTCATAAACGTTTTCAAGGGTGTTAGCACTCCACTAGATCTCTTTCTTATTTTTAAGTCCAAGCACTTGATCATCACCATGGCATCACCATCATCATGTCATGATCTTCATTTGCTTCACCACTTGGAATGTGCTACCTATCTCATAATCACCTTGATAAACTAGGTTAGCACTTAGGGTTTTATTAATTCACCAAAACCAAACTAGAGCTTTCAACAGTCTCCATCGAAACACTGGTGTATAAAAGAAATATGGTTCAGATACTACTTTGTTACAAACCCTAGAGTTTGGTGGGGATTGTTGGATATATTATGGGCTTAGCCCGTATAATATTTAATAAATCAAATAAAACTCTATGTTACGTAATATTAAGCGTTGTATGGTTTAATACCGTATGGAATTTGTACTGAACATTTACTCAACTTATTTGGTTGAAAATTATTCATCTTAATTGAGAAGCTGAGAAAAGAACAAAGGAGTTTCACACGCGCGCGCGCCGCCGCCTCCGACCGGGCTAGGCCGTGGGCGTGGCGTGGCCAAGTTTTGCCACTTAATCCACATAAACACGGGAGTTTCTCTCCTTTATGCTGGAGGCGAACTGATTGCGCCGGTTACCGTCTCCTGGGATCCTCCGCTGCCTTTCTCCCTCTCCGTCGCAGCCATAAATCTGAAGTCCTCGGTCATTCCAGATCTTCCGTTTCGCTTCTGAGAGACCACATCTCAGCCGCCCTTTGGGTTTTCCCGTCCCGTACCTCTGTGCGCACGGAGTAGCGGGAGAGCAAGTGCCTCCGGAACCCTCGTCCGCCTGCGAACCTTGCACGGATGTGCGGGCGATTAGGTTTTTGGGGAACGATTCCGCGACCGCTCGTCCGACGTCTTGTTCCTGGTGATTGCTCGCGAAGCTGTCTTCTTCCTGGTGTCCGTTCGTGGAATTGCACTGCGAACACCTTTCTGCATCGACTATGGTCCACGACTTTGAACAACACACTATATCTAGTGCGAATGGAGCATTCGATGCCTTCGGCATGGGACCCTCTACTAGGTACACTCTTATCTTTGTGTTTATAGTACTTTGCGTACTTATTGTATCGATCAGTATATCATATATGCATGCTGTAGCGTTTGTTAGAGATATACACATGTACATATATGTCGTCACGAACCTACTAATATTATATTTCTAGATTAAATTGACCATGAAAATACCTAATTATCTAACAAAGCAGACGCGCTCGGACGAACGCTAGCTCGGTTCGCTTGGCTTATAAGCCATATTTTTTTAGCCAACAAACAGTATTTTTCTCTCATACTAAATTAGTCAACGGTATTTTAGGCATCACTTACGAGGAAGCGAACTGGGCAGCTACTCCTACCTGCCTAGCGACAACTCCGACGAGACGAAACCATGTGCAGGCCTGGACACGGCACGTACGAGAAACTTAACACATGGTATGAAACAGGATGCATGCAAAGCAACCGGGACCCCGTCAAAATTAAAGAGCGTTGCCTGGTTGCCTTTGCCTCCCAGGGTCCCGGCTTTTGCTTGCGGACTATTCCGTCGTCTGCGCACACCGACGACGTGGAGCAACGGCCAGCGCACGTAAGTGCACGGCTCGCATCCATCCGCTTTGTCCTCCCTTGTCCCCTCAGCTCGCCGCCACGCCTCCCTCCTGTCCCGTCCCTTCCCTTCTGGGTTCTGGCACCACCTACCATGCCAACGTTTCCGAGCGCCAGCCGGTGGTCGTCGTCCACCAAATGGCCACGGAGGGCAGCCGGAGCGGCGTCCACGGCGCTAGCCGCCGCCGTCTTCGCGGTCCTGGACGTCGCCGACGTGATCCTCTGCTTCGTGTACGCCCTCCTCGACGGCGTCCTCGAGGACAGCCCCATGCGCTGCTACTGCCACAGGAGCTATGACAACGGCGGCATCAGCGAGGCGACCGCTGCAGCAGTGGATGGCGGCGACCACGAGGTCTCTGACACGCTGTACGCGTGCGTTCGGAGGAGCACCGTCAGGGACGCGATCCTGTACCTCCTGCGACACGTCGTCGGGAGGAGAAGAGGGACGCCGCCGGATGAGACGGTGGCGCCCTGCAAGTGGCGCAGCCCCAGGTGGTCTGACTGCGCGTGCAGGTCGTGCGTCGCATGGAGGGGCGGCGAAGGCGGCGGCGGCGGCGGCGGCAGCGGCCGGCTGCACATCGTCGTCAAAGAGCCGGATCGGGAAGGCAATGTCCACGCTTGCACACTAAAACAGAGTGAGACGACGACCACTCCCGATGCCGAGAACGCCATCTTCGTGCACGGCTTCACGTCGTCGTCGTCCTTCTGGTCGGAGACGGTGTTCCGGGAGTCCTCCTTCATCCTCGACGACTGCAGGTTGTTCGCGGTGGATCTCCTCGGCTTCGGCCGGAGCCCCAAGCCTGCGAATTGCATGTACAGAGTGAGAGACCACGTGGAGGCGATCGAGAGGAGCCTCATCGAGCCGCATGGCCTGATGAGCGGCAGCGCCTCCTTCCACCTGGTCAGCCACTCCATGGGCTGCATCATCGCCCTCGCCTTGGCTGCCAAGCACCCGACCCGCGTGAAATCCATCACGCTGGTTGCACCGGTGAGTAGAGTACACGCACACACCAGTAGGCAGGCAGCTCCTTCGCCGCTCACCATCAGTCGGTGACGACTGACCGTGTTCGTTGGTTGCACTTGCAACATGCAGCCGTACTTCTTGCCGTGCGAGCAGAAGGCGAGCCAGGTGGCGCTCAACAGGCTGGCCGAGAAGAAGCTGTGGCCGCCGCTGCTGTTCGGCTCTGCGGTGATGTCGTGGTACGAGCACGTCGGGAGGACCGTCTGCTTCCTCGTCTGCAAGAACCACCTGCTCTGGGAGTGGCTCTTCAGCCTCTTCACGGGAAACACGTACGTACATACACTTCTTCGTAGCACGGTTCAGAGTTTCAGACACGCTGAACAGTGCTGAAACTATCTGAAAAAAGTACTGAACGTTGCATGCAATGCAATGCAGGGACGTGGATTTCAGGGTGAGGGATCTGACGAAGCACACCCACCACTCGGCGTGGCACACCATGCACAACGTCATCTGCGGCGGGGCGGCGCTGCAGGACCGGAACCTGGAGGCCGTCGCGGCGGCCGGCATCCCAGTGCAGGTGGTCCACGGCGCCGACGACCAGGTGGTTCCGGTCGAGTGCAGCCGCCATCTCAAGGCGAAGCTCCCGCGCGCCAAGCTCCGTGTCATGGACAGGCGCGACCACTCGACGGTGGTTCTCGGCAGGGAGAGGGACTTCGCCAAGGAGGTCAAGGCGTTCTGGTGGTCAGCTGCTCAAAGGCCCACCCACCAGATACGTGTGGAATCAGTGGTAATATAATCAGGTGGGACTCATCGTCCGCCGTTGTTCATGCTAAAAACAAAAACAATAAGCTGCTTCAAGTTCAAGGTCCCCGGTTCACACGTCCAGGATACGGAGGTTCAGCGACAGCGAGGATGCTGATTGTTAGCAGGGCCACGGGCCAAGTAGTAGCAGGCCAGAGTGCGTTCTTGGGCCAAGCCCAAAGGCTATGTGATAGGAGCAAAAAGAGATTAGACGAATCTCCTAAAAAAACAGGGTCCTCCGAACAGGCGCCACCGATGTATATGCTCTTTTCTCGATTCGTCGGTAATTACCCTAGGAACGTCACAATTACTAGTATCAAAGCCCATGAGCCCCTGTGATCAACCGTCATCCTTGGTTGGTTTGCTTCCTTCATCTCCAGCACAGAGACACCACCGTGTTTTTGTTCAAATCCGCCACCATCACCACCACCACCTCCTCCCTGCCTCCGACACTTCAAACTCCACCATGGACCATCCTCCGGATCGGTGTTCTCCCAAACGCATCTAAACGGCCGTCTAGACACAAAGAGTTAAATGGTGGGTTCACATACAATGTAGCCCATAGTCACAGAATTAAACGCTAAATGCGTCTAAACGGTCAAACTGGTAAAAAAAATAGTTTAAACGTTAGCATTTACCGATGGCTAAACGGGTGTAAACGCCAAAACATGTGTTCACATTACCTTTAGGCGATAAATCATGAAAGTTTGGATGCTAGAACTTTTTTGTGTGGGGGCTCCAACGGCTACTAGTGTTATTCTCCGGTGACTCTTCGGTGGGGAGCACTAGGCATATCCGGTGACTCTTAGACCCTTGTTGTATGCCAACCTAAGAGGTATGGTTTCCTCCGTTATGTGGTGTTTATGGAAAACTCTTAACGATCATAGATTTAACAACTTAAATGGTCGTTGCAAGAGTGTTGCATGACGCTAAGGCCATTGATGGGGTTTACAATTAGCAATCGAAGATGACACAAGATCTGAGCCTGTTGCACATGCTGCTCTAACTCCTACCATTGTAGGTGCTCCTCATTTTGCTACCTTGCAGGCTCATTAAGGTCCTAGAATTTTTTTTGTGATGCTCTGTCGACTCTCAAAATCCTGCTACAGGCACCCAAACTAGAACTGAAGTTTTCATCCTCACTCAACCTATTAGAAGTATTTCCAATGCTTCTTTTTTCTAGGTAGCTACTCCTCATGTCTTGGAACCCTTGGAGGCTAAAGTTCCCTTCACGCCTTCCTTTTCGGTGCCAAGCTGGTTGTTGCACGCGATTTCCGGGATGCAACTATGCTAATTGACAATCGGGTGTTGGCCTCTGTTGTGCTTGTTAGATTGCAACGCACTACAGTGCAGGACACTAAGCAAGCAAGAAGCTACTTGGTAATAAAGCTATATATACAGATAAATAAATAAGATAGCTGATGCTCTTGCTAAAAGGGCAAGACGAACAAGCGTCCTGGCTGTTTACATTTTCTTTTGTCAAGCACTTGCTCATTCTCCATCGTGTAGTATCAAGTATGTATTACGAAACTTTGATTGAGCGTCCTCCTGCGTCTCCACGCGCCGCCGCCGTCGCTTTCAGGGGAGGGGACAGCCCGCCGCAGCCCTCTGCCGCACACCGCGTGGTTGTGTTGGGCCACAGTGACTGAGCGAGCCAGTCAATGGTCCTTTCATTTGCGCGACGCTCCGTGTCAAGCTGCTACTAGCTAGCCAGGCCATGCCCTTGCGTGTGCATGCATGCAGATGCAGCTGCCACGGCAGAGCCCATAGGAGGACGAGATTCCGCTACCTCTCGACCTCTCGTACCGTGCCAGTGCCACGAGTTTTCTATGCGCCTTCACCCTTCAGCACGTCGCGGTCGTCATGTAAATTATGGACGATGTGATTGAGCGTTGGGATTCTTAGATGCTTGGCCTGTTGGTATGGTATTAAAGTTGGTTTATAAACTGATTAAAGCTGTTTTATTGTGAGAGAAAAATACTATAGATTTTAGTTGATAAGTCGGCTGATAAATTCAAAAGAACAGTTTGTTTTGTTTCATCATCTCATCTCATCGATCGAAATGAAGAACTGTGTACTTTCGTAGGCACTTTGTTTCGTCGTCGTCGAGAGGAATTTTGCTTCTGCTTTTCTATTGTTCCTCTTATAGCCGACCCATCGGCCCCTTTCTTCAGCTTTTGAGGCCTCGTTTCAAAGGCTTTCGTCCAGTCCAGGAATCTGCGGCCTTATGTTTTCATGTGACCATATTGTACCAAATGCTTTTCGTTTTATCCCAGGTCCATTTCATCAGGTGACAACAGGAACAGGAAGATGTCGTGGTAAAGAAAGTCGTCGACTTGATTAGGGGGTAATGATTCGGTCCGGGGTGTGCTATCCTTTGAGGTGTGTGTGGGGGTGGGGGGGGAGGGGGGACCACGCCGCGCACCCACCATTTTCCTTTGTTATTATGGGTGTCGATGTTTCTTTGAAGACTTCTTTCGTTAAGGTTCTATGCAGTTTGATGGGGATTGGAAATAGATACTCTCTCCGTCCCAGATTATAAAACGTTTTGACATTTCTAGATTCATAGCTTTTACTATGAATCTAGACATAATATATATCTAGATGCGTAGCAAAAGTTGTGAATCTAAAAAAACCAAGACGTCTTATAATTTAGAACGAAGGGAGTAGGAGAGACTGAAATTGATCATCATAGAGGATTAAGGAGAAGTTCGGTTTGTGCTTTGCAGGAACCATGCCAGATATTGGTCAAAAACAAAATGGTGCAATGTCAAAACATGACAAAAAAAATAAGTTGCCAGAATATTAACATAGATGGGCAAAGTGTTGCTTGTGATGAAAAACATGCCAAAATTTGGCATAACTGTGAGTAAAACGTGTGGGGCTCACATGTCATTATTATTTCTTCTTTAAAATATAGTCACGAGGGATCTTATTTTGTAGATAAAATCATAAGTAATGCCAGCCAATTAGATACACGTACGGTTCAGTAGCCATTAGCATTTGAAGTTTTATCATCTTAGAATCTTGATCCATGTGCACCTAATGGTGGCATGACACATCATCCTTGGAGTGGCTTGCCAGCCATGCCAAGCCAAATCTCTCGCCCATGCAAGCGCTAACTTTCTCTGTTCATTATTGTTGGTTCTTAGTCAATTTTTTTTTGCTTGGCTTGATTAATTTTGTCCTATAACTAAATATCAGGCAAATGTTTAGGGATAACCAACATTTTCTTGGTCTACTGGGGCTTATAGTAGAACCAAACGTGTCTTAAATCCCAAGTGAAAATCCCTCTCGTCCCCTCCAATCGTCTTATGGTTTATTCGGTGATCTCTTACAAGTTAAATTTGTTTTGTCCCCTGAGCTTAACCAAATAAACTTAAGAAGGAGACTAACCGAACAAGTCTTAAAGCTTTAAATTCTCAATCTAAAATCACATACCCCCACCTGATGAAATCCCAAAGTTCCTAACCCAATCTGAGTTAAGAAAGAATTCTTGTGCGTGGAAGTAGCTAGCTGCACCTTAAATTCCTTAAGTTTCTGTGCATGAGTGAATGGTTATTGCAAATTTGGCAATCGTCTGCGTATTTTGCCGCTCTATTTGTTATGAGTTTTCTATGCACATGCAACTGTAATTATCATCATCATGTGTTTGAAGAGGATGTGTTTGAGTTTTAGATTTTGTAGCTACCTTGCTTCATCAAAAGGACTTTCGTAGCCGCCTTTACTTTCTTATATACTCTCTCTATCCATCAAGGAGTCAAATGATTTGAAATTTAACCAAAGTTATATAAAAATACTAACATTTATGATATAAAATAAGTATCATTAAATTAATTATAAAATATATTTTCATAGAAAACCTAGTTGGAGACATAAATGTTAATACTATTAACTAAAAGCTTGGTCAACATTAAGCTAGTTTGGCTGGCACAAATCCCATAGTTGCACCCGTTTGTGGACGGAGGGAGTATGATCAACCAAGTAATCAAGTGTCTTCAGGACCCTACACTTGAGCTTTTGATACTTCCTTTGAAAAGCTTTCATCTAGAGTTGCTTTTTCGTTTATAACTTTACATATGACTATGTACCAATTCTTTTTTTTCACTTTTACCTCTAACAAACACTAACATTCCATGAAACATTGGAACTACTTAGGAACCTCTCTATTAAGGAATGGAATCTTAGGAACATGCTATGTGACAGGTGAATTCTTCTCCTAAAACAACAAAGGCTCTATTGGAAGCAATGAGAAAAAAATAAAATGGATCAAAGAGGAAGAGGCAAGAACAAAATTCTTGCATGCTCATGCAACTATAAAGTAGAGGAGAAATACAAATTCATCCCTCCAAAATGAGCATGGAGATAGTTTCTCTAACCATGAAAACAAAGTTGAGTTGCTATAGTCTTCTTTGAAACAAAGGTTGGGAACCACATGATTTGACAGAGTTCACTATGACTTAAGCAACCCAGTCAACCAATCAACCCATTTCTTCAGCTTTTGAGGCCTTGTTTCAAAAGCTTTTGTCTAGGAATCTGTGTCCTTGCTTTCATATGACCATATAGTACCAAATGTTTTTCGCTAGTCCTAGGTTCATTTCATTAGGTGATAGCAGAAACAGTAAGGCCGCACATAAAGAAAGTTGACTTGATTAAGGGGGTATTGATTCAGTCTGGGATGTACTATCCCTTGAGGTGGGGGCACCGCGCCACCCACCCACCATTTTCCTTTATCACTATGGGTGCCAATTTTTCTTTGGAGTCTTTTTTCGTTAAGGTTCCGTCCAGTGTAGTGCGGATTAGAGAGGGATTAAAAGGAACTAGATAAGATCAAAGAGGAATAAAAAATGTTTGGTTTGTGATCTATAGGAACCAAGCCAAATATTTGTCATAACCAGACTAGGACAATGTTAAACATGGCAAAAAGAACTTGTTTGGTTAATAGTCATGCTAACATAGGCAGGAAAAATGTTGTTTGAATGAAAAATATCAAAA